GATCCTAAGGGCACTTTCAATTTATGCGTTTCTTGACGGCCTGCTGCGATGCTGAAGCGGTGCGTTTGTCGTACAGCATAAATTGAAAGCGCCCTAAGAGGGATCCAAGAAGGGTTTCCTCTCCTGGACCCCGTTGTAGATGATTAAAAATTGTATTTTTGTGAAAAATAAGAAAAAGTAAGTAATAAATTGTTAAGACTTTCTCATATTTTAGCATTATTAGCATTCTACTCGGTTTTTTATTGTTTGTTTTTCATTTCCAAAGTTAAAATTCAACATCTTCATGTTATGCTTTGTCAAAAGGGGTTGATTTCAGATTGTCTAGGACGTAGTGTGACTAACCCTCATTAATGACTTTGTCGCCAAATGACTTGATCTTTATTTGACCACATGAAATATTGACTAGATGTTTATTTCATCACATCTCACAATGAATTCTTCGCAAAATGACTAGATAGGTTGATTAACTACATATACTAGCATGAACAGGTGTAAAATCTCTATGAATAAAAATGAATCGCTGAAATGTATGTACGCCCATAATTTCCGATCAACTGCATCAAATTTTATAATTCTTTTTTTTTGGGTTCCGTACCCAAAGGGTAAAAGTTGTATTCGCCCGACCGTCGGTCTGTCTGTTTATCTGTCACTGGGCTGTATCTCATTAAGTGTAATCGCTAGACAGCTGAAATTTTCTTTTTTTTGTTGTGGTGATAATGGTACGGAACACGGAACCCTTCGTACGCGAGTCCGACTTGCACTTGGCCAGGTTTTTTTAGTTGGTATTGTCAGAACAAGGTTTATTTACATAGGTATTGTTTAATAAATATTTTTAAAAAAATTATAGCCTTATTAAACTTTATTAATAAGGCTATAATACAGGTGAATGAGACAAAACACTGAGAAATCATCAATGTAATGACATAACTTTGGCAGAGGCCTTGATAAATAATAAAACAATTTTATCACAAATTTCAAAAATATTCACAAAAAATATGGTGGTGGCTATAAAACTCCACTATGAACTTTTGCTGTTGAAAGACATAGAACCACTAATGCTCTATCTAGACCAGGGATTGGTAATCTCCGGCCCTCGAATAGTTGAAATCCGGCCCGCGACCATCAAACAAAACTTTTTATAAATTCATGTTTGCAGAAAAGCAATATAATACAGGGCCCCGAGTATTCATAGGTGCCCCGAGCCCGGCTACCCTTAATACGTCACTGCTCTCACCTGTGCCAAAATATCAGCGCATTAAATTACTTGATGACGGCACTGCAATATAGCTTTCGGAAATGTTCAGCATTCTTCCTTGGTAAGCGCGAACGTATTTACAACACATGCCACTCCTTCTTGTTACATAAGGTTTTGTAAGGCGAAGACACCGTCATATATATAATTACTTATGGCTCAGTTGTAGACGTAATTCATCCATTGTTTTAAGGTAATCAATAGCATTAGATGTTGTATCGTGTAATCGAATATGAAATATTTTTAGTCGATGTAGTACACTGGAGTTAGAGCTCCAGTCTGAGGACCTCCACTTCTGGAAATCGGTCCACAATTGACGGAGAAATCGGTGAACATACATTAAAAAAACAGTCGAACATAGAACCTCCGCCTTTTTTGAAGTCGGTTAAAAAAACTATTGTGTTTTAGGTACCCTTCATATTAATACAGTCATATATTTACCAATAACCCTCAGTTATCCCTAACGCAAAGTAGAGGGTAAACTGTGAGCCCTGGGGCAAATTCACACACTCCGGGCATACCCGAATGATTGCATTCCCCCAATAAGTATAACGTTCTCCTCAAATTAACTTAATGTGCACACTTCATACCTTTTATAATTAACTAAGAAAATAAGATTCTCAATTCCATTATTTTGTGTTTTTTGAAATGTGATCTAAAATGGCGATATTCGTATGAAACATCTTACGTTTCATTTATTGTTCATTTATGAAATCTCCGATTTGACATTAATAACTTTCATCGAAGTGACCATTTGAATTTTCTTCATACAGACCTGTCAAATTTAACATTTCATTTCATACTGGTGATAATTTGTTGGTTCATAAAGATTTGAATAGAATTAAACATTAACATTATGCACTATAATATTAAACTTGCAATCTGACTTTTTTAGGCCCCAGTAAATGTATAATGTTTCTAAATGCTTCTACACTTATTCATGACGAGTAATGAAATGTCATAATTTGTTATTGCAGGTGTGTTACCTATATTTCTACTTACACGGGCGCGCGCCTCCGTCATGTGTACTTTGTGTCACAGATTTGTGGCATCAGGCTTGCTTAAAGGGAAACTCTCAGTTACTATATATATGTAAAGAGTTCAAAACTAAGTTCTTGATGAAAAGAAAACTAATTCTTAACAATCTGCTCCCAGTTTTCTCTAATAATCCCCTTATTACTATTCCAAAATACCGGTTTAGGAGTAAGTAACATACCAGATACAAAGACAGACGAACAGAAAGACAGTGTTTTCTCTGCATTTAAAATTACAGGAGTATTATGATTATTCTAGTTGTTAAATTACCACTTCTGATTCAGAAAGCTAATATGGTAGTTGACATGAAAACTATATAGGAAGAAAATCTATGCAGTAAATAACTAATCTCATAACGTCACTGCCTACAGCAAACACATTCGTTAAATCGTTATTATGATTCGTAAAGCTCTGCTGTTTCCTTGTTCGTAAATGACACTTTCGTAAGTTAAACCTGTAAGCACCATCGCAGTCTGCGTCTTCTCACTTACGTACGACTAAGATAAAAATCTATACTTATATGATAAAGCTGAAGAGTTTGTTTAAAATGTAATGAAATTATACTTTATTCAAATTGATTTATTGAAAGCTCTTTTGAATCACCTGTAGGAAGGCCAAAGGGGAAGACCTTCCTCCGAGCTGGGGGGCCGCGGCCCGACTGATGTTTCGGGCATTGTATATATGAACTGTTGACCGCCGAATTTCACTTGTGCGACTAGTAGACTTCCATACTATTTGAGTGCAGCGCCGGTAGCGCCATCTCTTGACGATGGCGAGTGATTAATTCCTCTATGTTGGTTATATGTGGGGCATATAGATGTCGCCGCCACACGTCCAATATTTTTTTCTACCGCCTATTCAGGATATCTTTTAGCCGATGAGAAAAATGGGCAAGTAGCAACATTAACAAAAAAATCATGTCGCTACCAATATAACGTCCACTCACATTATGATTGCTGTGTCATACAGGAAAAATACAATTTTACTGTACTTTACGCTTTAGTTGAACGCGCTAATCTCTGATTTAAAAAATATATTTTTGTGTTACATAGTCCAATGGTCGAGGAAGGCTATAGGCCTAAACCAAAATAACAACCAAGTTTCTGATGGTTTCTGAGTTATATATAACATCACGCTACTAATTCATTTGTGAGCTTCTGATGTATGAGTTGTGTGCGTAAATGGTTACAGTTACACAAAAAACATGTATGTACTTATAACGGAATCGTTATCATTTATAAGTACAATTTACGTCGATCAAATAGCTTTTATGCTGATAGAAAATCTCACTTTATTTTAATCAAGAATAAGGGTTAGTGCTGGCTGTCACAATAATAATAATAATATTCTTTATTGCACAAATCAAAGGACACAAGACATAAACTAATTAAACAGAAGAAGAGTATACAATAGGCGTGCTTATTGCTAAACAGCAATCTCTTCCATGCTACCTATGGTGGAAATGAAGTATTAATAGAAAAATATAGAAGGGTACAAAAGTAGACACATGAGACATTCTTACAAAAATATAAGAGAAGTAAGAAAGAGGATGTTAAATGAATTTAAGATAAGGAAAACTTTTAACTTTATCACTGAAGGAATTAAGTGCACGAGCGTTTCTAATACCTTCAGCGAGAGAATTCCACGCTGAGCAGCATGTACAGAAAAGGAATAAGAAACGAAGTCAGAAGAGTGACAGGGAATCTCAAGAAGAAGGTTAGAATATACAGCGAAAGCTATGTAGAAGAGAATAGAAAGGAGAAACACTGTTTATGATAAGGTGGAGAATATGGCATAAAAAGTATAGAATAGAGCACCGTAAGAGTGTGTAAATTCCGGCGCCAGCGAATAGGGAGTCAATTTAGTTTATTTCCGAAGTGAGACACATGGTCGAATATACAGAGATTATAAATGAACCTGATACAAACATTTTGAAGTCGCTCTAATTTATTGAGGAATTCCTGCGACAGATCGGTGTAGCAAACGTCAGCGTAGTCGATGATGGACAACAAGAAAGAATTTGCCAAGTTGATTTTGGAATTGATCGGCAAGAGTTTCCGCAAACAACTTCGGGAATCATACGCAGCAAACACTTTTTTTTTTGACCTACTGTTGTTTGTTTCCAGGGGAAACTCTGGTAAGGGAAAACAACCAAATTTCTGACAGTTTCTGAGTGGGGAATAATAGAAACGTTCAAAATAATACGACACAATTGATTAAAGTCGATCCTGGAAATAAAATAAGGACTACCAATTGCCAAATGCTGGATTGAGATTCAACATTTAAGGTAAGACCAAATGACTCACCCTAACTACTTATATGCGACAAAGTGTTGACATCCGAAACTGCGCTAAAGAGGTCAGTTAGAGGATCAGACAATGTACGCTAGGTTTGAAATGATAGATTATTTTCTTCGACTCAAACTTCTAAAGTATTTGTTGTACAGTGTGTTTCATATAATGATTGAAATTAACACTTCTAATTTGAATTTAAACATTACATCGACAATGATTTTGGTTCAGATGTAAAAGCAGAACTTTATCATTACTTTGTAGCATAAATTAAATTCTAAAAATATTGCAACTTTTATCTCTTTAACGAGCCTATGTTAGTGGACTTCCTTGTTTCTTTTTATGGTTTACATGTTTTACACTGCGATATTGTTTTCAAATAATTATCTGCATTAACTTTAATAATGTGTAATTATTCTTACCTGATCATTTTGGAGAGCTGCTGTTCGCGCCGCCTCCCTTCTCAGTTGTATTATTACCCGCTCCTTCGATTTTATTTCCTCCAGCTAAAAATAAAAAATAAAGACTATTATGTCATTAAACAAGTGTTATGTCATTAAACATTAAACAAACATAAAAGTAACAGTTCAATGACTCTGTTTTATTTATATCGCAGCCATAAGCAAAATCTTTTTTAGAATACGTTGCTAAAATTACCTCTTCAGGCGTCACTAAGAATTTCTTGCTATCAACACGCTAAGTTGGTCGAGGGAAAAACTATAGGAGCTTCTTAAAGAGTACATTTTATTATTAATGGTTAGAAAACAAATTAACGACCATGTGTGCATCATAAAAAAGCAAATGACTATGGGTGACATCGTGTCACAGAACTTGGAAGAAAAATAATGGAATACAGAACGACGCCTATCAACAGAAGCACCGGATAGCAGAATGCTAGATGGACAAATGATGTTAGATACCAATATCACGAACAAAAATTGGACTCGTAAAGTCCGGCGTGAGAGAAGAACGACAGATTTCATTGAGGAAGACTAAACTAAGTAGTGAGTCAACATTGTACGAGAAAAGTAAAGCAATAATCAAATTGTACGCTAGCCATTGGAAATACATAAGAATAAAGCTCTTACACAAATTATAAATAAATAGGTATACATATAGTATTAAATTACATTATAGTTTTTTTAGTAAAAAGATGAAGTGGGAATCAGGTACGAAGGATTTCGTAAAAGATATTGAATAACTAGATATTTTTTTATGAATCAAATTACATGAAATGTCACATCTGTATCCATGTAGTTAGCGAAAGGCCAGATGGCCAGATGAGCAATGTTGATAAAAAGTTGACAATAGCCAACGGCCTATCATCTAATAATGGATGACATCAGACATACATTGTTGTCTTGTAAACAAACTGTGCAGTGCAGGATCGCCTTGATTCTTTATCGTGTATTCATAGAAAGTATTCGCTTGTAATGTACTCGTTACAATACAAAACTCTATTTCGAACACACACATTACAATGGTACCAGTTCAACGTACCTACTGATCTAGGAGCTTTCGCTTTCGTATCGTACAAAAATGCGAACGTTAGCTCACAGCTAAAGAAGTTTGGACTCACCAAAGATAGGTAATATTTTTTCGTATTTTCTAGTCCTACACAAAATTGATGTGTAACGAGTTCAATTATTCTGTCAAGCAGGACACGCACGTTATCTGAATATATCAACTCCATTGTGTACCTATACCTATATATTAACTGATAGATATAGCTGATCATCAGCATCAAAGAACTATGAAGGGACATGATTCCAAACTAAATTATTCGACAGAGAACCAAAGTTGCCAACAAATGCAGTGCTGCGAATTTGCAACTGAAAGATGCAGTCAACTGTTCAAAGGGATAACCATTGAAGTAGATGGTCACAGTTTTAGACAAGCGTATTCTAGGACATCCTGGGATTGAGAGAGGCAATGGTTTGAGAAAACGGCAGTAACCAAATGCGCATACCTGTACACAACTAAAGTGGAGACTAAAAGACCTACTACCAAAGTAAAAATGATAGTGAGCCGAAAAATTAAAACGATAATCCAGCCGAAGATCAAAATCCAATTGTTTATATTTAAAAGTTTAATACCCTTTGGAATAGGGCCGAAAAAAGGCTTAGCTTCACGGTGAAATATTAAATATCACTCATATAGCCTATGCAGAGGAGGAAATTTCGTACGCGGACTTTTCTGTCTGCCAAAATAGATCACTGACAACTTCATAAAGTAACGCTCACAATGGATTAAAAATACCGATAAGATCGGACTGAACGGGGGAAACAAGCGCGTAATTTACCCGGGTGTCCCCGGAACAAAATATCATGTGACTGAGTGCAGCATTGCACACAGGAAACTTAGAGCTCGTTCCAACTTGTCGGGTGTCGGTCCAGGAGTTTATCGGATGATCCAGTGGGAGAGCATTTTATAACATTTCTTGTCGGCTCCGACACAACATCAGTTTCCGACAAGAGTGAATAGATTCATATAAAATTCTCTGCTACTGGAACATCCGATTAAAATCTGGACCCGACACCCGACGAGTGGGAACGAGCTCTTAGCCTTCGTTGCGTTCTCCTTTTCTAAAACCTTATGTTAATTATAAAACAACGTAATCTTAGAATATTTGCTTCCATAGTATTATTTCCTTATATTCCTTATATTAATTTTCAGGAAATAAATAAATATTTCCAACACTCACACCAATTAGCCTAGCCCCAAAGTAAGCACTGTAAGGCTTGTGTTATGGGATACTAGGATAACGGATATAATACATACACAGTACATATATAAAGTATATTTATATAGAAAAACATATTAAACATCCATGACTGGAGTACAAATGCTCGCATTCATCACACAAACATCTGCCCCCACCGGGATTCGAACCCACTCGACCACGGAGGTCGTCAATAAAATTTAATGTCCGTACACCATGTGCGTTGAATCCGTATCAAGTTCCAAGCGGACATTTTTTTAGACGATTCAGGAGTTTTCGTCCTCCGCAGACGAAAGTCCCGCGTTTGCGCAGGCTAATAAGCAGAGCATTACACGTGGAAGCACGAAAACTTTACCTACATCGGATAGTTATACTGTAAATTTATTATTTCGTAACCACAACCCAGTCTAAATGTTCGTCAACATATAATTATTGATTTGGTTGCTAATTCAATGCCCAAAATAGTTAATAAAACTGCCCTGTCTCTCAATTGATTTAGGTAATATAGAATAGTTATCATTAAGAGACACAGCAGTTTTGGATCCTGTTCACTTCTGTGGCCATACATTATTAGAAATACTATTATAACTAAGTTCATATTTCTTTTGTTTCTGCACTAAGGTCGCTACAGCTTACAAAAGCACTACACTCTCACTCCCTAGTTTTATGATCACAAGAAAAGATTTTTTTGCGGCTAAAGTTATATTCGGAGCAAAACAGAACGAAACCAAGTTTCTGTCATCATAATTTCACCTAAAAGTGCCTTTAAATAAAGAAAAAAATAAAAGTGCTACGAGGCTTGTGCACTTCTGTAGCTAATGGCCGAAGTCTGAATCCAAGCATAAAAATACGAAAACTGATAAAAAAAGGTTCTTTAATAATCAGCAATTCATTGCTTAAAATAATCGCGTTGAAGTTAAGCAACTGTCGCAGTGGTCAGTCATTGGATGGGTGACCAAAAATTTACTATCTCGAGCTCCGTGCTTCAGATGGCACTTTAAGCCGTTGGTTCCGGCTGCATCTGCAGTTGTTAGCAACCGATCCACATTGGGTCAACGTGGTGGGTCACGGGCCAATCTCCTCATTCCATCCATATGGAAGGCTTGTATCCCAGCAGTGGGGACATTAATATAATATATTATTTTTATGTATTTGTATTTTTTTTTGTTGTACATAATTATTTATAAGTGTTATTAATGGTAGTTGCACTTTAAATGACACCATCTACTTCCCACTCCTTATATAAAAGTCCAGTTAACATACGGTTGCCTGGAAGAAATTGCTTCTTAGCGATAAGGCCGCCGTTTGTACTATTATGTAATAGTTTTAATTAATTGTCCTTTGAAACATCATGGTGTAGAATGAAGTGATCATTCATTCATTCATTCATTAATAGGCTGATGATGAAAAGTTTTTACCAGCTTATGGCACTGTGCGCGCGCGTCCCTCCTGGCCGCTTGCTCGAGCGCTGCGTGCTTCGCGACTTGCGCGCGCAGCTCGGCAGCTCTCGCGCACTCCGCCGCCTGAGCGACCTGGAAAATTTACATAAAAAATATATTAAAACTGAAATGAATATTCGACATTTTAATTATCTGCCCTCGCGCATAGATATTGCTTTTGAAACTTTATGGTGGTTGTGAAATTAGCAACGAGCGCTACTATACGCAGGTTTCAGTCAGCACGCCTCTAAATTTCTTTTAATTCTTTTAATTTAATTTTTAAAATTAAGTATTAATCGCGATATATCTTTTGGAGATATATATATACTGCAATCTGGACCTTTGCAGGCCTTCAAGATGAAGGGGCTAGTACAGCACGTCAATCTATAGTAGATTTACGTCTGTATTACTTGTACATCTACACTTCAGGTGGAATGAAGTTAAGAAATGTTTTATTTTGCTCGGACCTATTTGCATAGAAGAATTAATTGAGAAAAGATGAATTCGATGTTAAACGATTAACTCTTTAATTTATCAAATCATGAAAAAAGCAATTTTCTTTAAAAATAATAATTTGTAATATTAATGAAAATAACATTCGTTAAGCAACTTAAATAGTTATTTCTTGTCATACAAGTACACTGTAAATGAGGAACACAATTTAGTCAGGATAAACAGCAATATAGCAGGTAAACATTTACCTTACCATCTAATTGACGTGTATTCTCATTTAGCATGACGAGTACACAATGTAGCCCGCAATTCACATTTTCCTTAATGATTTCAAACAAGGTATTTTAGCAAAAACTGTACCATAACCGTCCAGTAACCCAACCAACTCTCTTACGTTTCACACGTTTTTAAATCGTCAAAATGTTAACAACTTTAGGAGTTATTATGCTTCTTCATCTTTCATCTGGGACTATAACGTCCAGTGTTCTATTTCAAGAAGTTACAGCTTACCATAACAGGACAAGTTATAAAGCCGATTTCGCGTATAATGTTGTTAGTAAAATTTACAACGCTTTCCGCCAATGGTTCTTTACCATAACATTCTGTGAATTCACTTACTTCGAAAATAGAATCCTCAAATACACCGAAAGTAAGCACTATGGGTACCCTGTGATACTCCTGAACGGTTGCCCAGATGAAAACAGGACAAGAATAAAGCCGAAGATTAACAAACACGGACAAACCGCTTACGTAATCACGGGAAATGTGATAAACTTGGAGATCAGCGAGTACGTAGTGGATACTTTGATCAGAACTGGCGTTTTCAAGCCTAGAAGTACAGTCATATTTATCCTTAATGAGCCTGTGGAAATTGACAGTTACTTTTTCTACACAATGAAAACCCATTTTCAGTTCCTTTGGAGTAAGAGTATCACTAATTCTGTAGTAATTTTGAAAGTCGTGGAAACATTGAAGACTTTTACTTACAACGCATTTAACAACAAAATTATAGACATCACCGATGTAGAAGACATCAGCCATCTACTGTATCATCAGTACGATAATCTTCTTGGCCATGTGCTTAGATTGAGTGTTTACAAAAAAATAACATCTTATGATGAGATAGAACCAATCCATTGTAATTCGAGGCTTACAGTCACAATAATGCGCCGTCTTAATGCTACTTGTAAGCCTTTGGCACCGAGAGACGGCAGAACCGTAGGCGACATGCTTACTAATGGCACGGCGTTAGGAGTCATCAGTGATTTGATTGATGGCTACACAGAGTTGGAGCTAAGCTCACGTATACTCAAAAACACTTATTACGGATACATTGACACAACGTATCCCCTTATGCGAGACGAATTATGCTTCATGTTGAAAGGTGAAGTCAAACAATCTTCATTCACTACTACCCTAAAACTTATATCATTTACAATGTTCGTGGTATTCATGTTCAATGTTGTCTTTATGATCTCCATCACTTTATTGGCCTGGAAGTTCGAAACTTATACTTTAAATTTAAAACAGAATAAGAATTATATGCCCTATGGACATATTATTATGGATCTTGTGAAATGTTTTTTAAGACAAACAGTGACTGTAAGAACAGGGGGACCAGTTTACAAATTTATGGCCTTTGTAATAATTGTCTATTCGCTCATCGTGAACTGTACTATTGATGTAAGTATTAATATTGTAATATTTTTAGTGCTTACTATATTAATTTGTGTACAAACTCATCTTGGATGTCTTTTTACTGTTCCAGGGAATAATAACTTCAGCAATTACTTACCCTCGATACATAAGTAAAATAAACACCTTTCAAGAATTAGTAAACAGTAACTTAACCCTTGGAGTGTATGAACGCCACGCAGACATGTTCAATATCAGCTTAACAGCTAGTGATCGAGAGAGGCTGAAAAATCGTATAGAGATAGTAAATAATAAAAAAGTCAAACAATTGATCGAGCATAGAAACTTCCACTATGCACTGTTACTGCGGAAAACCGATGCACTATCTATTTCTAGAAAAATAAAAAACATGGAGAATGGGCGACCCATATATCAAGTGATGGCGGATTGTCCAATCCCATGTTATATCGTATATGGTCTACGAAATGGCAGTCCGTATCTACGAAAGATAGAAAACATTCTGCATCATTTATATCAGGGGGGAATAACAAACTACTGGCTGGAAACTGAAAACTACAAGGTTGCCCAGATTCTGTTCGATTTCGAATCAAAAACTTTAAAGTCACTGAGCTTAGCGAATCTTTGGTCTGTTTATGTGGTGTGGACGATTGGCATATCACTCAGTAGTTTGGCATTTTTACTTGAGCTTCTAATACATTATTGTTACAATAAATCTGAAATCTCTGAATCTGATTAAACTACCTACTTTTACTAAGCTAGTTAGTTGTATGTCAATTATTTTAGTGCGTGTCCACGACGAATAACTCTTTGTCCTTCTGAGTCCCTAATTATAAGTATATCTTGTTATTAACTATAACAAAAACATGTTTACCTTTAATTTTTCTTGAAGACCCTTATTTGCTGATTTCAAAGACTGAATTTCTGTCGACAATTTCTTTAGTTCTACCATTCTACTGTTTCCTAATTGGTTGTCGTCTGCTAATCTGTCGGATTTGTTCACTGTTCTCAGTTGCTTCTCTAGGAACTCTTCTCGTTTCTTTTGTTCAGTCTTGATGTTCCTCAGAGCACTATCATGTAGTGCCTTCATCGCTCTGATCTCGCTCCGCTCGACATCGAGCGACTTCTTCAGGGTCGCATTCTCAAGCCTCAACCTGTCGACGAGACTCTTCAGCCTGTTAAGGAAGGCGTCGTCGACGGTTCGCTTGTGATCCTCAGGGGCGACGGATATTTGGCTGCTGGCGGTCGATGTGTCGGTGGACGCCATGTTGTGACGTCACCGTACTCGTTTCTCAGTTCGGGAGTGTCCCGTCCCGATCGTCTGCGGTCTTTGGCCTCGTATCATATACGGTATATTTCGCTTAGCGTTCGATTCGTTGTGGTTTCGTGTTGTAGGGTAGATTGGCCAATTCTGCAATACAAAGAAAAAAATTCTTAGTAAAATGTAGATTTAGGTACTCTTGCTATTATTGCCGCTCTTGATGTTGAATCTATGGAATAAAATGTAAGTAGCTTTATATTTTAGTAGCTTCTACCCACGACTTCGTCCGCGTCAACTTTAGTTTTATGAGAATCTCACAGGAACCTAACATTTTTGGGAATGAAAATATCCTATGTCTCAATCGAGGTTGGTACGCGCGTGTTTTACCATTCATCTCATTTCGTTCAGCCGTTTTTGTGTGATTGAATAACAAACATACTATACAAAACGAATATAATATACAAAACTTAAAATATATAATATTAGTAAGAAGTAGGATGTGACTTTAAAGCATTACTCCAAGCTTTCAGAATTATGATGGTAATAAATTGAACCATATCAATATCATTTTAATTTCGCTTTCACCTATTTCATATTTAAGTAAGTATTAGCTTTTAGAATATACGTATGGCGAAGCTTTTGTATAACGTAAAATTTATTACCATCGTAAATCTATAATTTATGAAAAATATAATGTGATTATTCTTCACACAATCTCAACTAGGTCATAGAATATATAAATATATTTTTACGAGCAGTTATTAATATATTAGGTCAGGTAAGTTTGCGTTCCAGTTATTTTAATATCTTCTTTATTTTTGAAATACCATATCCACAGATTCATTATAATACTATTGTAATGCTAAGACAAATAAATCGTTAAAATATTGTTATTTTATTAAGATCTTCCTTCAAATTTTTAAGTTTAATATGTACTTTCTATCCGAATGCACTGCTATTATGTTTAATAATTTGTAAATATTGATGACGATTCAGCATGATTCTCTTAACTTATAACTAAACTAGCAAACCAGTGAACCAAATGTTCACCAAAAAAAAAATGTATTTAATTAATTGAGAACTTCGGAGATTTTGTGTGCTTTCGTTTGATATAGAAATCACGTGATTTCTCGAAAACCGGAAGTGCTACGTTACTCACATCCGGTTTGTAGTCTTATCAGACTATTCTCAACTTATAACTTAAACATTCTCTTTATCTATCTCTTACGGTTTGGCCGCTGAAACAGCACCACGGACGGACAGACGGACGGACGGACGGACGGACGGACGGACGGACGGACTTGTCTAATAGATAAGAGATTTTAAATCAGTCTCTCCTTTCCATTCTGTATAGAGAATACACTTATTGTCAAATTTAATTTTGACAAAAAGTGTATCTTCAAAACGCCTTGTTTACACCAAGGTATAATACATGTATTTAACAAATTTTATACATGTCTTAATTTTTTGTTTACTACAATACATGTATAATAAATGTAGTATACAATACTTGCATCAAACTTGTTGGATAAACAAAATATGTGAAGTAAATAAGTGTGAAGAAGCAACATGCAGGCCGGCAGGGTAAGGATGGCTAATGTGGCAGGTAGAACTGCCGTATCAGCTATCTTCGCGTCTGCACTTCACCGTCACTTAACATCAGTTGGGGTGCAGTCATTTGTCGGACCTGCCTATAAAAAAAAGTGATTTATACTTGTAAGATACTAGTTGTCTATGCAGTGCAATTGAAAGAATGTTTTAAACAGCCACAACAATTAATCTACAAGTATTGTTTAAAACTAGTATATGACTTTTTTCTTGGTGGAAACGATGAGTAAGATAATCATGTCATAATCGACACCAGTGTAGAAGCTAGGTGAACTTCCACAGATTTTTGCTCCAAAATCTACTAGTTTTCAAACTGAATGCTTAGACTAAAAATGGTATGCATTAATAAACAGAGTCTTACAGGATTATAGCTCCTAAAATAGAAGGAGGGGTATTTACTATTTTTATAACATCATCACCACACTCTTGAGCTGCTTGTATGGCTAAAGAACCATTAAACGCTTTCTGTAAATATCTCACTTATTTTACTTAGAACAAAGTAAACAGATAGTTAAATACATATTTTTTATTTGAAATACATCAAAAGTAAAGGAGTTATTTATAACTAGCGGCCGCAAGCGACTTCGTCCGCAATAACTTTAGTTTTTTGAAAATAAATCCGGGATAAAAGTATCCATGCCTCAACCAAGTCATAAACTATATGCGTACCAAATTTCATCCAAATCCGTTCAGTAGTGTTTGCGTGATTGAGTAACAAACATTCAAACACACAAACATACAAACTTTCACATTTATAATATAGGTAGGTAATATGATTTAAAATAGAAATGGCACTTATAGAAGTAAGTCACAAATAAAGGTTAAATCAACTTTTGAAATAACTAATTATATACTAACAATTTTGTTTATATGAAATTCTAACAATCCAATGACTGATAATGGTTTAACTGGCTCCAAGTTAAACGTTTTGGCATTGATTAATAAATGCTGAATTATAGTTATATATGTTGGATAACAAATCGAGAAAGATAAGATATTACACATTAAGATAAGATTAGTCTCTAAATATGACCATTTAAATCTTATAAAACAAATTTCCCGCCAATTCTCTCTGTTGGTTTGTGTGGATCAAAAACTATTCAACATATTTTTATAATCCGCACCCTTCGCAATCCGGGCGAATGCACTGACCTATTATGCTACCGCGGCCCTCACGGACCGCGTCGAAATTCTTCTAGCCATTCTTAAGCTGCAAGGCAGCGCCATCTCTTCGCATTACAGGTAACCCACAATGTCAAATGAATACTTTTACAAGTATTAAACATTTGAAAGAAGAAATAGCAATTATTGTTATAATTTTTATTATTTTTAAAGCATGTAACTGCTTGATGTTTAAATCTAAAGAAAATATAACTAGAAAAAATTCCACGCGGACCAGGCAGCAGATGGGACTCGAACCCCGCACCCTTCGCAATCCGGGCGAATACACTGACCAATTATGCTACAGCGGCCCTCACGGACCGCGTCGAAGTTCTTCTAGCCATTCTTAAGTTGCAAGGCAGCGCCATCTCTTCGCATTATAGGTAACCTACAATGTCGAATGAATATTTTTACAAGTATTAAACATTTGAAAGAAGAAATAGCAATTATAGTTATAATTTTTATTATTTTTAAAGCATGTAAATGCTTAGGCGTCTGGATTTATCCGGATGATTTTCCGGCCAAAATAAACGGTGTCCGGCTTGTACGGCTTTTATTAGGATTTTTACATTTCGCAAACGAGCGAGCGCCAAACGCGGCCCAGCGCAAGCGAGTTGACTATCGGTCGCTTTTACATACAATTTTTTGACGTACCTTATATTACTGAGCCACAAATTCCTTAATAATGTAGTCTGTTCGGCCTTTTTACCCAAATGTCCGGCCAAACTGGCTGGTCTGTCCCGCTATTAAGCCTCGATGACACGGGGCGAGTTACAAGCTACAAGCCAGCGAGTTTGCTAGTAGCTTGTAAACTCGCCCCGTATCATCGAGTAGCAGATGGAAAAAAGCCTTATCTTATATACTCGCTTCGTGTCATCGAGGCTTTAGATTTGGCAACCTGAAACCCTAACAGCGGACCCAAAGGGTACTCATGCGATGACGACCCGCCGTTTTAAAGATTACAAAAGCAGCAGTAGATTATGAAATTACATTGAATGTGAACCTAAACAAAATCTCGAAATTAATGCTAATCACAATACCTAAATCCATGTTCAAGAGAGGTAGGGCATAGTGGATGTTCCGCTTGAATTGGAGAGCCCGTCTGAGGGAGTTACCTCCACCTTACAGAAGATAGTAAAATAACACTACTGTTTCTGTCGGTAAGTAAGGTTCCAGGGCTCCACGGGGTAGGGGATGGGTTCAGGGTAGGCAACGGCATCCCAGAACGACGACGACTCATAACTGGACCCCACAGTTACGCCTGTAGGTTGAGGGGTAGATCGGGGAGTTGGTTTACCACCAGGTAGGGGATGGGTTCAGGGTAGGCAACGGCGTCCCAGGCGTAACAAGCGGCGACTCATAACTGGACCCCGCAGTTAGGCCTGAAGGTTGAGGGGTAGATCGGGGAGTTGGTTTACCTGGTAGGTACGGGAGCTGGTCAGCTGGCTAGCCGCTCGGACTGCGGTCCGTGAGACTAGTCAGGTGACGCTGTGAACGGAGAAGCCCAGGATCGGCTAAAGCGGGTGCGGACCGGCCTGCCGATCGGAGGCGGGGTGGTTTGACGTATGCCACGCTTGCGTGAGTGCACGTCAAAGTATACCCTCACCGACTAGTGGCCCTCGGGCTGCTCGCCGCTTGCTGAATGCACCAAGCAATTACCTGCGTCGCGAGGGTTTGTTTAACAGCAAACCAACGTGGCGTTAGTCATTGTCATGGATATAATACATTCTTTCTCCCCGTCATCGAAAAAAAGAAAGGGTAGGCAACGGCGTGCGTGATATTTTTGGTATGGCAAACGTTTATAGGATAACAGGCGGGCCATATGCATGTTTGACAACCTTTTAAGATGAAAAAATTTTGCTGAGTAAACATTCGTCTTGATATGTTCTCTCTTAGCAAGAAGTACATTATATTGGTATTCTCTCATGCTGGCTTGGGAATGAAAGAAAAGCAGAATGATTAATGTCAAGATTGCGGTTCGCTTATGTATTTTGTAGCTGTTTCATAGCATCGTGTTTTCATGAAGTACCTTTTCCAATGATGTGTGCGATAAATTCACTGAGTTTTTGAAAAAATCACGCCACTAAGTAGTTGTCACCGCTTTTGCACGAAAAAATAAAACAAAATCTTTTAAATGTGCTGAAAAATAAAAACAAAATCTTTTAAATGTGTTGACTTTGGCGCAATTCACTAAGAATTTATACTTACTCTCCAATTAGTTCAACAATTTAGGCGATTTTACAGATGTGAACTGTTAAAACTGTTAAAAGCTTATTATATCTTGTTCAGGCTGGAGGATGTTAGTACTACTGTTATAACCTTATTTTAAAGAATGTTCTTTTAGTTTTATTATGAACAATATGTGACAAGTTGAAAGAAGT